TATATATATATAAAACAGCAAAGACAGAGTCTCCTGGCTTGAGGGGTGGAGATGTGGGGTATAGGGTGGGAAGGGGGGCAGGCCTTCTCCTGAGCTCTTGCCTACTCATGGGGTCCTCCCAGGCTGCAAAGACCTGTAGAAACAAAAAACACAAGAAATGAGAGGGAGAGGGTCTAGACATAGGTGGTGGTCTTAGGGAAGGGCTGGGCTGCTATGCCTCTGCCCTGGCTTTACCCTCTGCCTACATGCCTTTTCTTCCTTCCTTCTTCCTCTTCTCATAGTCCTGGAGTCAGCTTCATCCCAGCTGCCCCTAGTGGGAAGATATACCTTGCCCCCACCAGGTTAGGAACCAAAGAAATTATGTTCCCCTTCCCCAGTCCCCCAAAGGCCATTAACAGGTGTCCTTATTTTTGTGGAGCTTACATTGTAACAGGGGAAACTTCAAACAATGACCAGGATGTATAAGTGAATTATGTAGTATGACGTGAGGTGAGGTGATAAGTGAAATGGAAAAGCAAAAAGTAGACTAGGGTAGGGGGATTTGGAGTGCCAGTAGAAATGTTACTGTGCTAAGTAGAATAGTCAGAGAAGACCTACTTGACGAAGTGACATTGGAATAGTTAAGGAGGTGAGGGAATGAGCCATTCAGATAATAGTGTGTGTGTGTCTACATTCCAGGTAGGGGGAAAAGCCAGTGCAAAGGCCCTGGGATGGGTCCATGTCTAGTGTATTTTTGAGGAACAGCAAGGAGGTCAGGGGGGCTTGAGTAGAGTGAAAAAGGGAGAGTGGTAGGAGGTGATGTCAGAGAGGTAGGCAATGGGGTCACATAGGGCCTTGTGGACTAGGTTGTGAGGACTTCAGCTTTGACTGTGGATGAGGTGTGTAAGTTATGGGAAATTCTTGAGCAGAGAAAAATGTCTCTTGCTGTGTTGTTTCTATTAGTTCTTCAATAAATTTCTTAACATTAGTAGTACTCTAAGTGATGTGTGTACAGCATGAATACATAGTCATGTCTCCTAGTCTAGGGGTAGACAGTCAGAAAGCATATCAACTACTAATTACAGTTAGGGTCTCTTGACAAAGAGAAGCATAGAGTACTTATGTGAGAGATAAGAAAGGGACTTGTAAGGAGCAGTCTAGATAAGGTTATCAGTGTGTGTGGGTGTGAAACTCCAGAATGAAAGCAAATCCAAGGCACTTAAGTTGGACTGTGCCTGGCACATTGAGGAGATCAGTGGGGCTGTAAGAGTGGGGTAGTGGGTGGTGGGGGGTGAGAGGTCAGAGAAGTGAGGGTTGGGGCTACATTATGTAGGACATTGTGGGCTTTGGCTTTTAACTTGAGTTGGATGGGAGCTGCATCAGGGCGCTGAACTCTGCAGTAGGTCGGCTGTGGCCTGATTTAGGATTTAACAGGATCCTTCCCAATGCTGTGAGTAGAACAGAATGCAAATGGAGGTGGAAACCTGTGAAGATGTCCAGGGAGATGACTGAGAGGTGGGAAGATTATGGATACATTTTGAAGGTAGAATTTACAGGATTTTTTGAAGAATTAACTCCTCCCTGTCCTATTCTGGCCAAGTGCCAGACGCTACCTCCACCCACGTGTTGCCGCCCCACTGCCTTTCGTCTCCACCTTTCCCCCTCTTATGTGAGGAAAATCTCACTTCTCTTTTCAGACTCAGCAAGAAAGTTAGCAATCCTTTCCAGTATCTCCACCTGCCCCTTTTCCTTCCTTGAAATTTCACACCACCTCCCTCACCTAGAGGGCTGGGGAGAGGCGGCAGATGTATCACTTCTTTCAGGACTGGTGAATTTGTCTGACCTTCATGACCCAAGCCCGTTTACCCTCATTATCTATTGGCCTTAACCATAACATACTGGTTTATCAATCACTTCTAAAACCCACCTGCTCTTTACTCCGTAATCCCCCACGCTCCGAAGACTCTCCACTTAACAAGTACCGCGGCTGTTTCCTCCTTTCATTGGTTGCTCTGTCGGCTTCTCAATCTCTTCCTCTCCCTCAGAGCTGTACCACTACCTTCCTCCTACTGGCTCTTTATTCTGCCCATTTTCAAGCATCATTTTCCTACGCTCCACTCATTGGCTAGCTTTTCGCCCTAGCATACTGTCCTCACTTGTCCAGCCAGTGCCTTACTTACCGTCCACTCTTGACTCTTATTGGTTCAATGACCCGCCCGTCTCCCTTCCTGTACCCTTCTTGGTCTCACTGCCCGCCCATCACTCACCAGACTACATCTGATTGGAGAAGGAGGTGGGCGCACCCTGAGGGCCATAGCCTTGCTGCCCGTAGTCGCCCTGAGGCCCGTAGTTGCTGCTGCTACTGCCGCCGCCGCTGTTGCCGCCGCCGCCGGCAGGCTGCCCGTAATCGGGCTGGTAGCCACCCTGGGGCCCGTAGGAGTCCTGGGGCCCGTACCCACCGGGGCCCTGCCCATAGCCCGCCTCGCCGTAGGCGTCGCCGGGCGCCTGTTGCTTCTCGGGGGCGCCGGGAGATGCGCGCAGGAATGGGGCTGCCCAGCCTGTCTCCTTGAACACGAACCACAGATTGCCGACCCACAGCACCAAGTTCAGAAAGCCGAACACCTGCGGGGAAGGCAAAGCCCGGTAGTAGTCCCGCGCCCATTGCTTTGGCGACCCCGGGGAACGCCGAAGCCGTGCGCACTAGGCATGCGCCCTCGAGCTCCCGAAGGGTAGCGGTCTCCGAAACGACCCAGCGCATCAATGCCACTGTGCAGAAAAATCACCTTGGAGATGGGGTGGGCGTGTTAGAATTAAGATTCCTGGGGATGTTGGTATCTATCAGTAGTAGATATGTAAGTTATTTATACATTTGCACATATACATACTATGTTTACACATTTATACATGTATAAAATATAGTAAATCTATATAGTAAAATGTTAATCAAATTTTTGTTAGATACGTAGATGTACCACTAACATGCAAACACACACACACATATATATACAAATATGTGTATAAATACACATATAAAGTATATAAAGATATGCTTTTATATGGAAACAAATATGTGGAATGAATATATATATATATATATATATATATATATATATAAATTTGGGGACAGAAAGTAATATCTCCACTTTACAGTTGAGGAAACAGGTCAGACAGGCTAAGTTGCCCAAGTTCTCACAGCCAGCAAGAGATTAAAAAACAAAGAGCTGGAATCTTAGCATCTGTAACACTTGTAAGGGACTTACCATGTGCCAGGCCCATTTCTAAGATAATTAGTTTGTACCTTTGTAGGTAATTCACTAAATACTCAACTTTGGAGCAGGACCTCTTAAATGTTAGCTTTCAATTTGCATGCACAAACTGAGCCCTGAGAGGCTGAGTAACTAGTTTGTGATCACAGAGCTTGCAAGTGGTAGAGCTGGGATTTGAGGTCAGACAGTATGATTCCAGCGAGTAGGGGGCTACTGGGACAGGGGGTGGGGTGTGGTGGGTGGGAGGCAGTGGCATTTCAAGTTATTCTTTCATATTACATAGTGTATTAGGAGACTGAGGTCCCAAGAGGGTAGTGAATTGCCAGATATTCTACATGACTAGGCAGGGCCTGGGATTGAGGGCTCCCAAACCTAACTGGAAGGAAGGTCTCAAATTCCCTTCTTGGGGACGGTCTGTAGTGTCACAGTAGTTACAATTGCTATCTCATCCTTCAAGGCTCTGTTGGTATATCTCCTCCAGGAAGCCCTCTTGGATTTCCTTTTAAGTCTCTCATTTTCTCTCTTTCCACTACGCCACACGTCAGACTATAAGTTTCCTAGTCACCCTCACCAGCTGGCCCACTGGCCCCACCAGCTTCCAGGGCTTACCACAGAGGTGTTGAGGCCAGACGTCACAGGGTCCCTTAGCTCCTTGCATGTATTCCCTGTCTGGCGGCAGGCAGACATCTCCTTGATAATGTTCTCTGGATCTGTGGCCATCTTTACATCTGACAGCCCCTTGGCCCATGCTGATGAACTAACTAGCCACATGAAGGCAAACACTGCTGTGGCCAGGAAGTCCTGGGATGGGCAGAGAAGAGGAAGATGGCACTATGAGTGGGCTGCTTCATGCCATGTGTGTGGCCTCCTCAGATCACAGGCTTTCTTGGAAGGGGGAGTCCTGCCTTTTCATCTCTGAAGTCCCCCAACACTCACGTGAAGGTGGTCCTCCTAGCTTGGGCTTGTGTGTGTATGTGACACAGAGGATGTGGGAGTGTGATTGTCACACGTGGGGGTGGGTGTGGGTGTGGGGATTCTGTGGGATGGCTTCCCAATCTATGGAAAGTAGCATGTCTTTCCACTTTTGTCTGAATGTGGGAATTTGTGTCATTTTATGTCTGAGATGAGGGTATATGAGTACAGTTGTTTAGGAATCAGTGTGTCTGTGTAGCACGATGACAAGCATGACTGTCACAGTGAGCCTCTGTATGCACCTCTCTTTGATCTAGACTGTGTGGATGTGTGAGAGATGGGAGGTTTCCAGGTGTAGACCTCTCTGGGATTCTGTGTGGGCTATGAGTGTGATTCACTGTCTCTCATTTTATCTCTGCTAATGCTTAAGCAGCCCCAGCAATAACATCTGTGGCTGTTATGGTGGCTGCTTGCATGTGGGTCTGTCTGGGATTTGGTGTGGCCTATAAACATGGCTGTGTTCCTTAGGCTTCTTATCCCCTGGCCCCTGCATGGGAATGGCTGTGGGGGCTCACCAGCATGGGCCCTTTGTTGTTCTCTCGGTACTTGTTCTGCAGGAAGATGTAGGTGGCTAGAGCCCCCATGGAGTACAGGAAGGCAAACACAGCCACCGTGACAAAAAATTCAGCCGATGAGGAATAGTCCCCCACTAGGAATACTTTGGTAGTGCCCCCTCGGCAGGTGGGTGCATCAAAGTACACTTGGTGCAGCCTGTGGAGAGAAGAGGGCAGGTGTGGCCCAGATTCTAAGAATCCCCTCCCTCTCCCCCCACCTCCATCATGGGTCCCCCAGGTTCTGACAAGGTCCCAGGAGGAGGAGGAAATAACCATTCACAGAGCACCTACTGTGTACCGGTCACATTTCATTGATTGCTCACATCATCCCAGATGAAATAGGCCTTATCTCTCACACCAACCCAGGCATTCTGGCCTCTTGGTTATTTGTAGAACATGTCAGGCACCCTCCCACTCCAAGATCTTTGCACTGGAAGACTCTTCTAGATATATTCATGTCTTACTCCTTTCATCTCCCTCAAGCTTTGCTCAACTGTCACCTTCTCAGTGAAACCTTCCCTGATCTCAATATTTAAAATTAAATTGAACCATGTCCTCCTACCACTCCTTAGCTCCCTTCCTTGCTCCATTTTCCTTCATAGCACTGATATGCCATCTGACATACTATGCATATTTTACTTTTTTTTCTTAATTCTGTTGTAACTACAAGAGGGCTTTTTCCTTTATTTTGTTCACTGATGTCTCTAGGGCCTGGAACAGTACGTACTAGGCACCTGATAAATGTTTGTTAAATGAAATGTACAGAGGTGGCAGCAGAGGCTCAGAGAAGTGCATTAATTTACCTAAAGTCACACAACTGGCGAGGGAATGGCAGAGTTGGGATCATAACCCTGTATTTCCCCCCTACATTATGTTGACTCTTCTCCCTACCCAACTTCAAGTCTCTGAGAGAGAAAAATGTATGCATAGCAGAGGAGAGCCCGGGCAATACAAAATAAGAAAAAGAAAGACAGGAGGGTAGAAGGCATCTTGGATCACCATGTGTGTGGGGTGGAGGAGAGGCAGATTGGGAAGGTGTCGTGGGGTATGGCCTTTCCTGCGGGGTGATGGAGGAGAGGTCACAGGGAGAAAATGTATGTGGGAAGGACTAGGGTGGAGTCCAAGAGTTCTGGGCTTAGACTGGGAAGTAGGATCCTGAGACTGAGCAAATGGGGTTATTGTCCTCATGTATCAAAGGTCCTGAGGGCGTGTGCTTCCACTTACTGATCACCTATAAAGGACTTTACATAAGTGCCTTATTTAATGACCTTCCACGCTTAATTCTCTAAAGCAGGTGTTATTATGCCCATTTTACAGATGAACAGAGGCTCAGCAAGATTAAGTTACTTGCCCCATGTTCTACAGCTGTTAAATGATGCAGCCAGGAGTTGAATCTGGGTTTGAGTTTCTGGGTTTCTAGTGGGCTGGGTTGGGAGAGGGGGTATACAAGGGTGAATGAGGGGGTCTTGGAGGGTATCAGGACATTGGGGGGTTGGTTGGGGTTCAAAGGGCAAAGACTTTTTCCACGGAGACTTGTGGGTAAAAGGCAGATCCTCAGGACCCAAGGTCCTGGGCATTGGAGGTGTTGGGAGGAGGTGTCTACAGATTTTTGTGGTCTTCTGGATTCCAAAGAGCCTGCTCTCAGCAATAGCCCACAATGCCACTTACTCAAACAGTATCCTCCTTTTCTAAACTCTCTTCCTGACTTCTGTGGGCTTCCATGAAGGGTGGATCCCCAGTTACCCTCCTGCCTCTCAGACCACGCCTCCCTGGCATCTCCTTTTCTTCTGACCTTGCTCAATAAATATCAGAATTGTTTAATTGAATTTAATTATTCCCTATAGCTAAGTAGCACCCCCTTATTATTCTGTATTATAAAACCCAGCAAAAGGATTCTCTCCTCAAATTTCTCCCAGTCTGTAATTATCCTCTTATTAGTTTGTTTATTTGTTAGTATGTTGGCTCCATGAAGGTAGGGAACTTGGTCTATTTTGTTCACAGCTATGTCTCCAAGCACTTTGAACAGTACCTGGCATACAACAGGTTCTCAAAATATGGGTATGGAATGAATGGATGGGAATTAAATAATAATATTGGCGAACATTAATTGAGCACCTACTGTGTTAAGAACATATATGCATTTATACCGTTACTTTTGAATCTGGCTTATTGCCTGTCTCTGGCCCCTCCCCTTCACTAGAACGTAGCCAGAGGACAACAGCCTATGCCTGTCTTGCTCACCACATGTCCTAGATGTCCGGAGCAGAGCCAGGTACAAGGTAGGTGCTCAGTGCATGCTCAGAGACCTGAGTAGGTGTGGTCTCCTGAGGTGCGGGCAGGGCAGGAGCCCTTGAGGAGGTGGTGTGTTGACCAGTCCCACCCCACCTCCGCCCTTGCCCATGTCTGTCGGGGTACCAGGGGTGGGCTAGGACACACCTGAAGGGGTACTCGAATTCAACCTCGATGTTGAGGTCACTGTCAGTCTTGTTGGCACACTCCACACTCAGCTGGAGCTCCCCACTGTAACTGCCGCATGTGGCAAAGGCGAAGATGGCAAAGACCTTGGGCCGCAGAGGTGGGGATGGCCAAGGTAAGCCTGTGTGCATGGGGGATGGGGGTGCCCTCCTCTGGATAGATTGGAGCTCAGCAGAGGCAGCAGCAGATGGTCCAGCCCCCACCTCCACCCCCTAATCAGGGCTCATCAGGTCTAAGGACAAGCTGATTACAGGAGTCTGGCCATCTTTCCCTGTCTCTCCCAGTGTCTCTCTTGGTCTCTACCTCTTAATGCTCTGACCCCCTCCTTCTCTCTTTCTTCTGTCTCAGTCTATTTCTACATCTCTGTATTTCTGCTTGTTTCTGTTCTGTGTCTGTTTCTCTAGGTACCTCCCTGTCTCTATTTCTCTGAGTCTTTGTCTTTCTCAGATGTTTCTTTGTGCCTGTCTCAGTTTCTCTCTCTGTCTCTGACTTTCTAGTATCTCTGTGTGTGTCTCTGTCTCTCTCTGTGTGAATGCATGTCTCTGCGTGTCTTTCTATTCCTCCGTCTGTCTGTCTCTCTCCCTGCTCTGTCTCTCAGTCATCCTCTGTATGGTGCTCTTTCTGTCTCCTTGGTGCCACTCTCTGTCTCTGTGTATCAGTTTCCCTTTTTTTTCTTTCCTCTGAGTGTCTCTCTGTCTCTTACCCTCCCATCCCCGACCCCATTTCTCTGTCTCTTTTCCTGTTTCTGTGTCTCTTTGCATCTCTGTTCTTTGTGCATCTTTCTCTGTCTCCCTTTTCTTTGTCTCTTTCTGTTTGTCTCCTTTCTCTCTCATCTCTATTTCTCTTTTTGCTTGGCATTTCCATCTCTGTGTCTATCATTCCATCTCATTCTCTGTGTCTCCTTCACTGTCTCTGGATTTCTCTGCCTTTGCATCTCTCCTGCAGCAAGTGACTGCAGGCTCCATCTCTTTTGCCCCTCTCTCACCTCAGGAGAGGAGGTAGGACATCACAACCTTCCACTTCACAATGGAGGTACCCTCGGCCTTGTGTGATGTCACATCACAGCCCACCCATTCTCTGGCCTCAGCCCCTTGGGACTTCACCCTGGAACCCAATTCCCCCATCCCTTTCTGCCCCCCATCCATTTGCTCCCTACCCCTACTCCACAGCTGCTCTTCTGGACCCCACTACCTCCCTTCCCCACAGTCCAGACCATACTCACCCATTGCAGCACCTTCACGAAGCCCAGAGGCTCCTTGACCACCCGGAACTGACCCCCGGCCACAAGCTGAGGAGAGAAATGATGGGGGGGGTGGTTTGTTGGGGGTAAAGATGGAGGTGAGGGGCAAGGCACCAGGCATTGACCCCTGGGGATAGGGCATGTCACGTCGGCAGGGAGTGACATTTGGAGAGTGGGTGAGAAGGAGAAAGTAACACTTCGTGGAAGGTGTGAGCACAGGGCCTTTGAAAGAAGATCCTCTGGGGTTCAGAAGTGGTGGGGAGGTCTGGGGAGATGGCGAGATAGATGGCAGAGGGGGGTCGGGTGAGGAAGATGGGGTTGGAGTCAGGACTAGTTAGGGGAGGGGAGAAGGTATAAAATGGTGAAGGGGATTGGGTGGACTGAGTAAGGAAGGAGTTGGGGTTCATTAGGGTGGGGGAAGGGGTCTTGGGTGATGAAGGTGAATCATAACAGGGAGGGAGTTGGGTTGGCTAAGGTGGGGGAGGAGTCTGCAGCGGTAAAGGTGAGTCAGATGGTGTGTGTGGGAGTCTGAGGTGATGAGGATGGGGAAGGTTTAGTACTGGTTAGAGAGAGGGTGAGGTTTTTCAGGTGAAGAGTGAGATGGCAGAGGGTCTGGGATGATTAAGGTGGGGGACGGCTGAGACATGGCTTCACTGGATATGTGCTTGGGGAAGGGAGACTAGGGGTTTGGGGGAGGCAAAGCGAGATCGTCTCCATTGGTCTGTTCTGGGGGGATGGGGTGGTCATCTACAGGGGTACAGTCTCTGGGAGGGGCTGTCAGCTCTCCCCCATCCCCCACCCCTATGCCTTCTGTCGCTCTATTTCCTAGCTCATCCGCAGCACCCCCCCCATCTTCCTTCCATTCTCTCCTCCCCTCCCCGCTTGCCCGCATCCTAGCCCCAAGACCTCTTTCCTTTCCTCACGGTCGCCTGTAAGGAACCTGGCTCTGGAGGTCCCCTGCTGCGGCACCGAAGATGGCCCTCGCTGCGGCAAAGGGCACTCCCCTTCTTTTCTCCACCTCCCCTTTTCTCCCTTCGCCTGCCGCAGACCCCGGCCCCAGAGTCTGGGACTAGGTATCTGTTACCAGGACCTTGGCCACCACCTCTCAGGATCTGCGGATCCGCTGCGACCCGGGCCAGGAGGCCGGGCGGCGGTGGGCTCTGTCCGCGGTGCTGGAACGCATACCTGATTTACCACGTCCATGTCGGCCAGCAGCAGCATCAGCAATGCGGGGGGCGGAAGGCGCCTGATAGCAAGGGCGGGTGCGCGGCGCGGCGGGGGTGGCGCGCGGTCGTCGGAACAGCCCAGGCGGCCGCAGCTCCGCCCCTCGCGCCCCCTGCAATGCTCGCCGTGCCTATGTCTCGCGGGCCGCCATTCCGGCCTCTAGGCTGGATTCGTAAGAGGTCTATGAAGGTCGTTCTCTCAGAGAAGACGCCTAGAGGTCTGAGAAGTGGAGGACCGTTTGGTCCTACAATATGACATTTTGCCAGGCCCTTTAGTGAGCTTGTTGAATGTGTTCACTCATGTAATCCTTACAACAACCCTACGTGGTAGGGACTATTAGCCCCATTTTTACAGATGAAGGAAACGAGTCCACAGAGAGGTTAAGTCACTTACTCAAGGTTACCCAGCTAGTAATTGGTAATGCCCAAAGTCCCTGCAGCTTAAACACAGTTCTTGAGGGTTTCTTCTCATCTCCATTTTAAGCGCGTCTTAAAAATCCCTCCCTCCCTTCTCCAACCATCTCCCCTATTTCTTTCTTCCTCTTAGTCAAATTCTTGCCTACTCCAACTCTACACTTACCATCCTGTTTGTTCCTCAGTCCTTTTTTAATGGACTACGCTTACTTAATGCTACTAAAACTAAGCCCACCAATGTCAGTGGTGGTTGCCATGTTGCAAAATCCAATGGATAAATACAGTTGGCACTTAAGATGCTCAATCTAACTCATACTAAGAGAAAAGCCTATAAAAACGACAGGATGTTGGTTTTCATCTTTGAGCGTGGTGAATATAAAAGTTTGCTAATCCTCAACATTGGCAGGTTGGCCAGAAACAGGCATTCTCATGTAAATTGCCAATGGAAGTTAAACTGCTATGATCTCAGGGCCAATTTGGCAAAATCCAGTAAACTAACATATCCATATACTGTTTGGCTCAGTGTTTATACTTCTAGGAATTTATCTTACAGATAGATTCATACATGTGCATTATATAAAATGATACACTACAGCACCATTTTTAGTAAGAAAGAGCAAACACAGGGAGTGCTCCTTATTGGTGGCCTATTTAAACTCTGATACAGCCACAAAATGGAGTAGTATGCAGCTGTCATTTGTCATTAATAATACTATGGAGGTACAGAATGACTGCCAAGATATTTAGTTAAGAAATGCAAGATGCCAAACTGTGTGGAAATTTTGTACAAAGAGAATGAAAGGGTTCTATCATAATTATAGAGAGAATAGCTAACATTTTAAATTGTGAAGGAATTTCCCTAAGGTCACACAGCTGGTAAGTGGTGAAACCAAGATGTGAACCCAGGAAATCGGCTCTAGTACCTGTTACTTTTAGCCACTGTGATAACTTATCAGTACAGCATCCTATACATGTAAAAGAAATCTAATAACACTGGTCGCCTCCAGAGGCAAGGGAAACTTTTCACTTTATTTCCCATTATGCCTTTTGAATTTTAAACCATCTAAATGTATACATATTTTTAAAACACACACACACACACACACTCAAATTCACACAGATATGTAATGGATGCTTCCCAGTTATTGCCTTATTGGGGGAGGAGCATGAGTTTTAGCTTTCAGTTGCTTGAGTTTGAATCCCACTTTTCATATTTATTCCTATATGACTTTGGACATGTAAACTAGTTTAAAATGGAAGTTATAGGGTTGTTACACTGATCACTGTAATGCACTTAACACAGGGCTAAATAAATCGTTCATTTTACCTCCTACACATCTCTGGAATCCACTCACTTCTCACCCTCTCCTCCACCACCTCCGCTAGCTAAGGCGACCATTGTTCCTGCCAATTTTAGCATCTCCAGTGTCTTTCCCCTCCCTTCTGTTTTCAGCACAGCCTTCAGAGCATCTATTTAAAATGCAGAATTAACTATGTCACTACCCTGCTTAAATCCCTCCCATGGCTTCCAAAGTGCCTTTAGGAAAAATCCCAGGGTTTGGGGGCTGGCATTCAAGGCTCTGCATCATCTGGCCTTAGTGGTCTCTCCCACCTACTTCCTCAACAGCCTCCCTTCACTCTCTATGTCCTGCCTATGCCTTGCCTTTCCCACAGTACACCAGCCCAGCATCTCCAAACCTTTGTTTCAAGACCTAGTGGAACTCTATATTCTGAGTTCTAGTCTCCAGTTCTGGCTCCCCTCAAATTTCCATGCTGGCTGGATTGACACCAATCATACAACTAAGAAACCTCTAGACTGACGGGTGGAGACCCTCGGTCAGAGCCTTCCCAGTGGTGGCCCTGTTGTGCACCACTCCCAACACTGCCTCCAATTCATTTGGAGTGGGGCTGACTACCACTTTGGACAAGTCCTTTGGCATGTCTAAGCCAGGTCTGTTTGCTCTGAGGAAAACTCAGAACAGTGCCTGGCACAAAGTAAATGCCCAATAAACCTTCACCAAATTAATGAGACCCCAAAGGCAGTGACTAATGGTAGGGCAAGAAGTAGAAACAGGAGCTCTGGGATCTGTGTGGGAAGGGACTGGGGTACTCTTAGGTGTTCCTAGGAGAGCTAGGTGGGCCCTGAGTGGATTTCTCCAGGTTAGGAGCCTTGTCCTTTACTCTCACTCATGTCTTCTACCAATAAATTTATATATTCTTTTCATCAGACAGAACGTGGGAGGTGGAAGACAGGGTGATCCCAATTTAGCCTCTTAGAAATTCCTGATAGTGTAAGAGAACCCCTCTGCCTGATATATCACATACCGGGTTAATTCCAACCTCTAGGCCTTTCTACTGGCAGGATTCTCATTTAGGTTTTCTTATCCTTTCTGTCCCATCCATATATCCTTCCTCAGTCTGACCTGACTGACCCTTTGTGGAATCTCTTACTTGCCCCCACTCCTCACCTAAGCCCTCACACATCCTTTCTCTCCTCTGTCCTCCATCTCTGTCTAGTTCCCTCCCCTTCCCCCACCACCTCCACTCTGTCTCTAGCTTTTTTTGGCTGCTGTCTCTTCCTCCTCCTCCTCCCTCCTTTCCTAACACTGAATAATCAGGCTTGGCTGTCCTGATTTCTGGAAATACCCACATGTGGGCAGTGGCTGAAGGCTGAAACAGGGGATGGATGGATAGGAGACACTGGCTGCCGCAGGCCCCGAGTGCAAAGACACAAAATCTATGGGTGTGGTCCATTCCTGTTTCCTCTGGGGAAGGGGGGACAGGAGGTTTATTGAGCAGCGGGGGATGGGTGAGAATTCAGAGGGCATAGACACAGGCCATCTCCTCTCCCAGGTCCTCCTCATCAAAGCGAGAAAGCATGGACTCCTCGTCACTACAGAGTGAGCTGGTCCCCTGTGCCAGCAGGTCACTGGCAGCACTGTCCATCTCGTCCAGTGTCAGGTTACATGCATCCGCAATCTCCTGCTTGGCCAGGGCCACAAAGTGTGGGTCTCTGGAAAAGAGGCCTAGGCCCTCGGAGATGAGCACCTGGGGGCACAGATGGTATCAGAATTGACAGAGGGCACAGCATGGAGTTGAAGCAGGGTGCACAAAGTAGTCAGTGTAGCTAAATGAAGCAGGGGAGTCAGCAGGGGACAGTGGTGAACACATCATGCTGAGCAGAAGTCATAAAGCAAAGGGATAGCTACATGCACAGCAGAGACTAGGGACTCCTCTTCCCTCCCTCCCAAGCTCCCATCTCTTCCCCTTCTCCCCCATCCCTCTTGCCCATGCCCTTTCTGGACTCACAGCCTCCACCAGGCTGTCAGCACTGCCCCTCTTGCCGTGGCTGGGGACTGAATGGGTTCCAGGCACATGCAGACAGGTGAAGGTATGCAATGGACCACCGGACTTGCCAAGGTATCCCTGCCCCGCTAAGCCCTCCTCCACCAACAGCAGTGGGGCATATAGGAGCCGACCCTGCTGAGGAGGGGTTGCCCAGGAACCCTGGACCACAAGAAACATCAGGGGGACAATGATTGATGGGTGGGGTGTGAGGGTGTAGGACACTCCTGCACTTACTTCTTACCCTCCAAACACATCTAGAGTCAAACTGAATGCATGTCAATTAGATTCGAGTTTATTTAAGAGTGTAGAAGATCTAGGTTTAAATCTCAGCTCTGCCACTTACTAGGTGTGATCTTGGGTAAGCCTCTCTGGGCCTCAGTTTCCTTATCTGTAATGTAAACTGGGGAACACTATGCACCTCACAGGTACAGGGAGGATTCTGTGAATTCATATGTGTCCTGTTCTTCAGAAGGGCCAAGCAATGTGTTTGATAAATTCAGCCTAGGTGATTCCCACCACCCCCAGACTTAGCACCCTCAATCCCACCTCACCTGTGCCCTGCTGGGCCCTGAGTTGAGCCCACGATAATAGGTGCCTGGGATGGGTAAATCTTCACAACTGTCTTGGTGCCGCAGACACTGGATGGTGAAGGAAGGCTTCCTTCCTGGGTGTGGTCAAAGAGGAATGTAAGTGCCTCCTTAACCCTCTGCCCTGCTGGTCCTTTGGGGGCTCCAGGACCCATGCCCACCCTCACCTGCTGGCGTGGGGGGCAGCAGACGGTGGCGTGGTACATGATGCTCATCCACATATCTCTGGGGTCTGTGACGTGGCAAAAGAATGGGGTGCAAGAGAATTTCTGCCTGCTCATCTAGGTGGGAGAGCCTGTGTGGGAGGGAGGGCTGGGGGTGAGCTCAGGTCTGGTCATAGTGATGGGGCGCCATCAGTCCTGCCCTCCCACACGTTGCTTGTGGGCTCATCCTACGAGTCATGGTCAGCATCTGGGCAGGGAACTTCCTCTTCCTCGTTCTCCTCCTGCCCTTTGATTCCTTTGGGCTGAGTGCTTCCTTCTTCAGGAATGGTGAAAATGAGAACCCCAGAGTTTCTCCTGGGGAAAGTGTGGGAAGTTAGGCAGACCAGGGCTTTTAATTTTTTTTTATTAGGAAATTTCACATAACATAATATTAACCAGTCACCATTTTAAAGCAAACATGGGCTTTCTTTTAATAGATGTTCGTTTCATTGGAAAGACCCCAAATTTCAAAAAAATCAAAGTTGGTCTGTTGAAGAGACAACTTCAACACAAG